AGCCAACACACAAAAGAGTTTATTAATTTCTACTCCAATGTTTCTAATTGCTTAGTAACTGGGGGTTAGGCATGAAACCCATATCAATTTTCACGTCAAACGGCGACTTGAAATATGAGTATGCAAAGCACTTTGAGTTTATGACTTGTTGAGTAATCGGGTGTTTTCATCAGAAATGTTAGTATTCGTGTCAAAAGACAAGTGATAACTTAGAGAAGAATGTGTTGTATGGCTGAAGGAAAAAAAAAGAAGAAGAGAAGTTGAATGTTTCATGGCCTTTGTTACTTGAGTAAGTATGTTCTTAGGGGTGTCTCTTCACCTAATGCCCTAAAGCCAATTGGTTTGGGAGTCATTGACAAAGAGCTCGTTACATGGGTAACTTAGAAAGCCTAAGGAAACTTGACCTATGAAAAAAAAAAAAATTGAGGGGAGAAAAAAAAAAGATAGTAATTAGTGCTAAGGTGTGAAGGTCTAAACTCGAAACTTCTTACTATGAATTTCCACACACACACTAAGTGCTCATGGGTTAAATCTTTTAACAAGTGGTATGAAGAATAAGATGGAGTATTTTACTTTAAGTGAGCATATGAGAACTTTTGAATATTTGAGACTTTGCCTCTAATTGAACTTTAATTCTTAAATTTTCTTTGCATACATATCATATAGTTGCATTTTTGCATTGGGATTTTGTGGGTAGATCTGCTGCAAACCCTCACGAGATACAACTCGTCCACTAGGGTGACCTAGGGGTTTAAAGGCTTGTTGCACATGCTAAGTGCAATCGTGATTCCTACAAAAGTGAGTTAGATTTTATTTTTGTTTCTTTTGTTTTTTTATTTTACTCGAGGACGAGTAAAACTTAAGTTTGGGGGAATTTGATGAGCTAAATTTATATATATATATTAATAGGGAATTTTTACTTTGATATTATTGATATTTGGATGAGTTTTATGAGATTTTACTGAATTTTATTTGATTTTACATGGTTTTCATTTTTTGTGTAGGAAATGTTTTAATTGGAAAAAATCATACTTTTTAGAAGTAAATTGAAGAGATCAGAGACTTAAGGATCAACTTGTGCAGAATCCAGAAGTCAAGAACCAAATCTGCTATTTTACCATTGAAGAAATTGCAAAAGGAGACCGGAAACCCGACATGGGTGTAGTGTCGACACATGATCAGGGTATCGACACCATGCGTTAAATGTCCAGAATAAGATTCTGTTTCCTATTTTGTGTCAACATGTAATCCGAAATATCAACACCACGCGATCAGCATCCAAAATTCAATTTCCTATTTCTGTTTCAAGTCCTACTTCTATTTCAATTAGAGTTTCCAAAATTCAGAATTGAGAGAGTTTTGAGAGGCTAGTGGCAGCTCTCTTTTGGGCATTATTGGAGATCAAGATTGAGATTCCATCAACAGGAGTTCGATTTTCTCAAATTGGATTTTGTTTTTCCTTGAGTTTTTATCTATTGTTTGATATTTAAATATTCATAACTTCGATTTCATATTTTATTATTTTTATTATGAACTGGTTTATTCTATTAGGGTTATGATGTAGCCTAATCAATTCAATATGAATTTAGTGATTTTATGCTTTCAATTAAAGTTATTTACATGAGGAGTTTATATTATTGAACTTAATGCATTAGAAGTCTGATCACCTTTCAATTGATTTAGTGATTTATGCATGAACTTGAGAAAGAATTGCGTAGATTAGACCAATAATAATATAAACCGTGTGTTAAACTATGATATCGAGAGGTAATTAGCTCACATGTGGTAGTGGAGGAAGAGGAGAGTTAGGAGCTCTCCCTTCTTAAGCTAGAGGTTTCCATAAAATTTAATACTCATAAGTTTGTTTAAAATTACATAGAGATATGATTAATTTAACAAACAAGTGAAGGATTAATTTGACTTGAGAAAGCTAGTTAATTAATTTAGGGAAATCTGCCATCACATGCAATAACATTTAACAATTTGGTAATCCAAAATTTATATTGATTGATTATGGTGAAGTCAATGCTTTAGTACCTCATATCTTGGTTAGGTTTAATTTAATTATTATTTTCCTTTTATATTTTGGTACTTAGTTAGACACAATTTTCGTGGGTTCAACACTCTTCTCATTATTATATTATTTGGAGCGATTAGTACATTTGTTAGGGTGATTTTAGTACTAAAATCTCATAAAACTCATCCAAATATCAATAATATCAAAATAAAAATTTTCTATTAATATTTATATAAATTTAGCTCATCAAATGTTTTGGTACGTCTAGAAGGAAGGGATGTTTATTTCTCAGAAATATTAATTGACTGTAGTTTGGTGAACGTTTACATTTTAAAAGATGAGAGAAAAAAAAGCAATAAAAAAACCTGGTGATGCAGCTGTTGTGCATTTGAACTTAAATTGTTACATTTCATGCTAAGTGTTCTCATTTTAGTGAAGAGATGATTTGGAAACTCTATAAATAATTTAGAACTTGTTTGGTGTCGCTGGAGCTTTTAATGGAAGTTTTGTTAGAGAAAATTTGTTGTAAAAGTACTGTTTTTAAGAAGTTAGAAATGTTTGGTAAAATTTTTTATAAAAGTACTTGTAAAATGAAAAGTTGTTTGGTAAATTTTTTTATAAAAGATCTTTTAATATTAAAATAACTTAAATAGACATTATTTAATTTTTATCACTTTCACTTTATTTTTTTATATTTTTATATGACTTTAAATTTATAATTAGTTTAAAATTAATGATTAAGAATTAATTATTCAAATTTAAAACATAAATGTTAGATAAATTTTTATGTTTTAATATTAAAAAATAAAATATTATTACA